AATAATCTATCTTTTTTGATCCCTTAAGGATCTGTTTACTTTTATAATAATGCATTTAGATCCAATTTAATTATAGGTTCTCTAACTCCAATATATAAATTTAGCGTTAAATAAGGTTAAGTGCCTTTTCAAGGATATTAATATAGTTAATTAATTATTTTATTAAGTGCTTTCATTAAAATTTTACTATTTAATATAAGGAGAGTAATTTGAATAAGATTTTACAGTTAAGAGTTATGATGGAATAGCCTAAATTTATGTGGAAGAAATTTAAATATCTAATAGTTACTTTGAAACTTATATAGGATATAAAAGATCATAAATACAGTATTCAAGAATGGATAAGTAATATAGGGTAACTTGAAAGTTAAGGTGGAACCTTCATCATTGACAGTACTCATTAATTTCAATGGAAATAAATGATTTTATATAATCGTAATATCTATTATATATTGAAGATTGCATTATTTAAAATACAAAGGAAGGGTATGAAGATTATTTGAAATTATTCTAAATGAAGAACCTTATTTATATATTCACATTCGATAACTATAAAATTAAGTAAGAATTTACTGGTTCACAATAGCATTGGATATGAAGAGTTACTGCTGTGTCAGAACTTTTGATGATAATACAACTGAGAGGGATTCAGAAATTCTGTATATTCTTGTATAACTTTTGAGATCAACAATGCTCCCATTCCTGATCCTAGTGATTTAGAATCCATCTCAGCAATCGCATCCTTCAGCTTTTTATCTAACTACAATCATAACTTAATCAATAAATTCTGCGCCTCTAGTGTAGTGACCCTTTGACCAAGCTGTTGTCATATATGATTTTTCCATTCCAAAGATATCTGGTCTGAAGAATTGTCCCAATGTTTCTACCTCTCATTGAGTCCAATTGTTCCTATTATTCATATATTTTATTATAGACCTGATACCAAATCCAGAAAAATAGTCTAGGAACAAATCTTCCTCCTGTTGATTTGTTTAAAGTAAATTTTAATTCTTTCCAATGGAAGATAAGAATGTTTATGATATTTTTGTATTGGTTCAATATCTTGTACATCTAAATGACTACTACCCATAATTTGGGATTAATTTGAATACCAGTATTTCTCATTGCAATGGTTATTAAAAATGATTTCTTCATTTTAAATATGAATTTCTTTACATCTTTGAATCATGGAATTCATTCCATTTTATACAATATCTTAATTTATTTCCAATTTAAATTAGTAACTGATTATAAAATTATAAACAATAAATATTCAAATTTAAATCACCTACTTTCCTCAATTTCTTCCTATATATCCCAACTTTAATAAAAGAGATTAGCATATGAATGAATTTTTCTTTTATACTTATTTGAAGATTTTTCTTTATAACGTTTAATAAATACTAAAAAAATTCATTGTAAATTTTTTTTCTTCAATCACTATAAATAAAATTATAAATATGAAATATATTCATGATATGTTTTTATGACTAATTTTCCTAAATTTTGCCTTATCCAAAAATGAAAATTGCAAACAAACTCTAGCAATTAATGGAGGGAATCTTATAAATATTTATAAAGAAGGTAATTTATTGAATCAAATGTAAGAGTAGGTAATATTGATCAAAATTAATTTAAAGAGCCAAAATAGTTATTTCAAATAGTTGTTAGTTATTACTGGATAGATGATAGATTTGAAAATATTTATAGATTTGAAAAAATAACTCTATAGAGATAATATTTTGATAACAAATAATTCATTCATTTAAATATTACTCACTATGATTACTTTTGCAATTTTTGATGAAATATTAGCCAAAATTTTTAATAGATTAGCATATTAGTAAACTATCATTTTATAACTATTTATAATAATTTAGAATATT